TACTAGACCTTTACCCATTAGAGTATAGATGTCTTAGAGGTGATCTATTAATGGCTTATAGTATTCTCAACACTTCTGGAATCCTCTTAAGCACCTACTTAAGCTTAGTTCGAACACTAACCTAAGGGGTAACACTCAGAAACTGGAGACACAACATAGGAAAACGGAATGTAGACATAAATTCTATTGCTTAAGAGTTGTCAAATGTTGGAACTCGCTGCCGAACGAGCTAGTCCAAGCGACTTCTCAGGAGTCCTTTAAGAGGCAACTTGACCTATCCTTAAGGACCAAGGAAAACATCATACTGATTTACCAATTTCTTTTTCCTCTTCTGTCGTTAACATACCTAGGTTCCTGCCTGGAGGATTCGGTGATCCCCTGCTACTAAACATGGAAGCCTGTTAAGCGAAAGCTTCTTCTGTTCCGTCCACAACCATTTGAACCATTTGAAAGCTGTTGGTGTATAGTCATTCTTCTTAAAACCCTTCAAAACACAACCAAAACTGTAGTAGAAAGAAATATTAACGACGAACTGCACATTATTTTCTGGTTTTTTAATCTGTAGCTTATTGTTTCATATTTTCATATCTTTCAGTCGTGTATTGAATCTTGAGGGTGAAAGCAAACTGTTTTACTAAAGAGCGGGTGGGTTGATTTTTCACCTTATTAGGTATTTGTTGTCTTAACGTTTTGTGAAGATTGCTTCTACTAAGTCCTACGAGAAGGTCCTGGGTTGTACCCTTTATCTTTTGTACTGTACTTATGGTTATTATGGCGACGATACTTATAGTTCGTCCCTTATCTGTCTGTGTGGCTGTTTGGTTCCGTAAATGGCGAATTTTCGTAGGCGTAACGTATCTTTGTTACGTTTTTCTCCATCACATTAGCTTATCGCAACCGTATTCTAACTCTGGTTACTGTGAAGTGGTCACTATTCACAAGAGTTTTCCCCGAAAATGTTTCCGTTTTGGTAACTGGCACAGTCGTCTTTACTTTCTTTCTCCCTAAATCTTAAGCTTCAACTTCACGTTATAATATTTATTCCCCAAATCCACCCACTACTTTCGAACTGTATTCTTTCTCACTGACTGATTTCATTATTATTTTTACTCTTATAATTTTATTTTTCTAACTTCATTTCTTCTCGTTTATTTGGTTTATCAACTTGGACTGAGGTACATTCGTGTCAGACTCTGTGTAGATTAGGAACAAATAACGTTTCTGTTCATCACACCATGTCCATACTTGAAATTAACCGCTCACCCATTTCAGAAGCTGGAATTTGGAAGGTCTGTGACCTTGGGTGGGTTTGGTCGCGATTCAGAATTCCATTATAGGAATCGTAATCAAAAATGTGATCTCACTAGTCCTTGTAGCGCTTTTTATCTTCAACAATTCGTAGGTGAATCCAAATCAGTTTTAATAACCTCATGACATGGTATAAATGCACATCTGCTTTGCTACATACTCGTGTTTCAGACTTTTGTGGTGAATTTAATACTGTTTTGACATGCACTATCCGGTTTTTCTGGAATATTACTCCAGTTTACATATTTGAAAAAAGGTTATTTGTGGTTAGTTTTTCAACACTGTTTCCTCGCTGCTGATAGGTGTGACTTATTTCTCCGTCTCCATAACCTAATACTTTGCAGCATATAATCGTGTTTGAGTGCACATATTTGCTTTCATTTTGTAAAGTATACCAGTTACTTGATGCGTGTTCCTAGATATAGTATTAGTTTTAAAAATTCCAAATATATTTAGACAATCTACTCAAAACGTGGAATATTATACTACCATTTTCAGCAAAATAGCGAGAATTACGTCAATGATTTTTCGCCACAATGCGAATTTCTTATTTTTTGGTTCCTTTTCAGTGTTTTGACTTGAATCAGTAAATAAAGTGGGTCATGTACCGTTTGATTTGTTAGCAACATAGTAATAAGAGGATAATTTTATTATTCTACAGGGAATCAGTGTCTTTTGTTTATTTGGACTCACACTTTGATGTGGATCAATGATTTATTGGGGTTTCAGTCCGGTCCCAAATACTTCGAATTTAAGAATCATTTGCCATCATTATCCTGCTCAGTGTGTCTTAAATCCAAGTGCCTAGACATGGACTTAATGAACAAGGCATATTAGTTAATGATGTATCCAGATTTTTAATCTGGGTTTCCTCTGTAAATGTTTGCCTCAGTCTCAGCATCCACCTCAGTCTATTACTTAAGTGTGCATGTAGTGGTTGGTGCTGTGTCAAACCCACACAGGCTATTTAACTCTTGGACAGAACATTTTATTCATTCTTCTCAAGTCACATTTTTACCTTGTCACTTATTCGATTATTAACCTTTTTGTGTTATGGTATGTGTGTTAACTAATTACCCTATTCATCATGTGTCTGCAACTTATTTTTGTTTAACCATAAATATCAAGATACGCTTGATTAAATCGAGTTGGCCCACTAGCCCTCTCCGCTACGCGTCATTTTGTTTCGCTTTTCTCTCTCCTCTTTGCCTCTTCTTATTCTGAATATCTGTCTGGATAAACGAATGCCTAAAATGGGTTTCTCCGACTACACTCGTATTTGACTTCTTTTTGCCGCTGTCACAGACGGGGTTAGCCTAGGTAATATATGGAGTTAAAGGGGAGTAGGACAAAATATCACGTTCCTTTTCAGTATTATTTGATTCGAAGGACGCAATTTCAAACAATTGAAAGTTGAACATCATAAGCAAAATAAATTAACTACTTGAAGAAATGCCATATTGAAGAAAGTAGATGCACCTTCGTCTGACTAATCATCAGTTAGCTGTCAAGGGTTGAAATGTACCTTTAGTCAAATCATTTCATAATTGATGATGAGTTTGTTAGACATCCGACGGAGTTGATTTATTAGCTGTCTATTTGAGTACAACCGACAAATATTCCCCATCTTTATGATTCATAGGTAAACAACAGGAGTCGGGACTCAAGTTTCCCCACTTAATTTTAACATAAGGGTAGGATATCAACAAGGCTAAAAACAAATAAATGAAAAATATCAATTCAGGTGTTAAAAATAGCATACCGAATAAATAATTCAGAGGGAAGGATTAGAAAAACAAAATAAAATGTAGTACTACACCCACAAATTTAGTGGAAGATATACTAATACTTCTGATGGCTCTGACGGATGTAGGTAATTATGGTGTGCACCTATTACTTGGAGAAAAACCTTTCTGCCTTAAATATGTGGACGATATCGTCTTATTGTTTGACGATACCCAAGTACTTCGCACCTAAGTTCAAAGTACTTTTACGGGGGTGGTAGGACCCTACGCCTGCACACATTCTTGGTAGTGAGCAAATAGAAGTCGGGAAGTTCATGTGTCGGGGAAGTTGTGTATGTGCAGGTGGTGGCGTGAGTGATGGGATCAACTTACGTATAGTGAAAGCCAGAGCGCTTTTTTCCAATCTGGGTCATCTTTAGCGTCTTCGTGATGTTGGTCTGGCTGTAAAAGGTCGGACCTACAACGCGTCGGTGAGAGTAATCTTGCTGTATGCTTGTGAAACGTAGCCGAGTCAGACATGTTAAGTGACTCTTTGTGTTTAATCATCATTGTCTTCGAAGGCTTGCTGACATCCAGTGGCAACACCATGTTGTCAATGAGGGGGTTCGACAACGTACATTCGGATACAGTGACGATAGTTCGGTTGGCATTACCATCTTGATACGCCTACTTCTATGGCTTGGACATGTGCTACGATGTCGTCCCTGCAAATTCCACATTTTGAATTACTTGCCGACTCAAACTGGTTGAAAAAAGCGGAGGAAGGTCAGCTTTTAGTATAGTGTCGCGGTATGAAAGCAAGCTATACGGGACTGGCTTCCACTGGTCCTTCATGACTACTTGGTTGGGGTCTGATAGTGCAACACAGTGGCTCTAGACATCAGACATGACTCAGAATATAAGCCAGTGGCGACCCTACTGCAAATTTATTTTGCTTTCTTCATAAAAGTGGGAGCAACTTCTTTAGCTGAAGGAATTCTTTCTGTTCGTAGTTTTCTTAGCTGAACTGCTTCTCCCATTACTATTGTCATTATTATTATGATTATTATTGCTATTATTATTCATTTTTGTCCTTTTTTGTCATTATACTCACCTTCCTTTATCTCCTCACAATCTCATTTTTATTGTATGAGGATTTTTGGTGTTCTTTTGTACCAGTGTTTATGTGTTTGAATAATAACAATGGTAAAATCTGAGCCATACTACCTAGGTTTCCCAACATTTGCTGAGATGCAGGTTGGTTCGGTTGACGAGTCCCGGGTGAGATGATATGATCGTCCTGGGTTCCACTCCTAGCTATTATTCAGATCTAGAAGTTTGTAATGAAAAGTCAATATCATGGCATCCGCTTAGGATGGACATTTGCTAATAGAGGCTGATTAATTGTAATTCCAAATTATCAACAACGGGGAAATATCCCCCCATAAGTTATATTGTATTTGTTTTCAGATCAGTCATATGAATATACTGACTACAGCTTACCTAATCTAATAGAGAGAATTATCAAAGACGACTAGACTTGCTTCGAATAAGATATTTTGTCTTAGTTTTTACTATTATGGCGGGGTAAAACACCGTTGATTTGCAAAAAGTAACGATAGAAATAAGGAGTAATTTTATTAAGACATGACACCAAAAATAACCCGGGGGTTACATACCTTAGTGGGTCGTAGAACTATCTGGATTTACTTTTTGCTGGAGGACTGGTTATTTACTGGTCATGTTTGAATCTTCGTTACCAGCTTTTTTAATGCCTTTTTTCAAGTATTTTTGTGGGTCAATTCATCGTTTCCACAAGTTAACCAACTGTCTAAATCTTTATGATCATTTGAATAATTCCAAATTCATTTTCTTACCATTTTAGTTTTCTATTGGTGTATGTTAAAAATATGACCAACCAGTTGTTACTCAAATGCACGGGATCTGCATTTTGATTCTGAGAGTGGAATGTTAACACAGCAAACCAACCAGACCTCTACTAGTAACCGAGGTCATCGAGGGTCTGGTACAACTTCTCAGAAAAAAGAAGAACGTCAACATTCAGGAAAGCAGAATAATATGCAACAAGATGCACCACGTTCTTCACGGGAAGGAAATACGCTGCTGGTCGGTCCAAATTTCCGTGTTGGAAAGAAGATTGGTTGTGGGAACTTCGGGGAACTTCGTCTTGGTCAGTACCTTATTCTTCACATTTATCTAATATATTAATCCTTTCTATACATAATTTGTATATTTGTACTTGACAAAAGGAAGTATCAATTCTAATAAACGTATTTTGAGTAGGCATTCTAGCCGAAAGGTTCATGTCATGGCAAAACCCAGGATTTGTCTTAGTTTAGTTTTTGGACTGTTATGCGTATTCTTGCCCTGTAGTGCAGTTATTTACTGAATATACTGCAGAAATGAACTGGTTTTTTTTGCGTTGTAGATGCGGAAAGCAAAAATTATTCTTATCCATATGTAGTCAACTAGAATTCGGGTGGGGAAAACCAATATGTTGTTGAGTGCAAGAATTACACAATGCCTTAGTAAGATATGAGAATCATATATTAAGTACATCATTTGACCTTTACATATTCTATTATTCCTCTAATTCTGTCGTTATTTTGATTACTTTTCAACTTCCTTTCTTTTCTCTTCAATTCAATCTTCTTTTACCAGGCACTACATCCGATTGTGGTTACATACTACTTGTACCTGTTAATATAAGTAGCGTGCACCACACATAGTTTTGTGAAAATAATCAATTAAAAATTGACTATAATATGTGTAGATCTTTATTCATTTTATCTATTTCATATAAAATCTGATATTTGTTTGCATTGTTTATTTGTAATACTTCTATAGCTCTATTATCATATACTATAGTTTCTCTGGTTAGCGTTTTTTTTAGTGAGTTAGTTTTCTACGGGATGGGGTCACTAGCTCCATGCCCAACCCTCCTCCTTTATCCGGGCTTGGGACCGACAGTAGTCCCAAAGTGGCTCCAGGAGGCGTTATCATATACTAATTGCTGACAAATTAAGGATTGCCGTTTAAGTAAATAAATTTGATAATATCTTTCCAAGTTTCATACCAATACATTGTTGTTATGATGAACCTTTATTAGACAATATTACAAATGACACTGTTTAAGTGAAGAAAGAGATGTGGAAGAATTTACTTTAGTAAATCATGCCATATTTGATGATGTAACCTTATTTATTAGTTTTAGCGATTGTAAAGTACGATTTAATTTCGTCTACATTTTCCCCCAAGCTTTTAATACAATTAGGGAATTAATTCTACAAAAGGATTGAGTGTAATTCTGTTTATGAAGTGTAACTGTAGTGAACGAGAACACCAGTGGGGATAACCAAATGTATTTTAATATAAGATTACAGAATATCTTAGTAAAATCTGAGAACCATACAGTAAATACTTCATTTGCAAAGTATCCATCAATTGTCTCCAACTTTGTTGTTTCTTCATTTCCATCTCAATCACTTTTTGTTCTCGGTCTTTCCTCTTCGGTTTTCTCAACCTTTTACCACCAAGCATTCCGCTTTCGAATGGTGGTGCATACTACTTATATTCGTCGACATCAGTAGCACACATCACAGAACTACAAGTGATCTTAATTAATGGAAAATATTACAGTAGCATTCTTTGGAGAAAAAAGATTTTTAACGATGTTTGTTTAAAGTTTGTTGTAAATTATTATTCTGTAAGGTCATCAAAGTAATTGTTATTTTCATTTTTGACGTTTTTGTTCGAAACTTTTGTTTAGGTCGTAATTTGTATACCAATGAATATGTTGCCATTAAACTTGAACCGATGAAAACTCGTGCTCCCCAATTGCATTTAGAGTATCGATTCTATCGTATACTTCTAAGTGGTGGTGTTGTTGGATTTCCAATGGTTTATTATTTTGGACCAGTAGGCCGACATAATGCGCTTGTAATGGAATTGCTTGGTCCATCTTTAGAAGATCTATTTGAATCATGTAAACGTCAGTTCTCTTTGAAAACTGTACTGATGATAGCAATCCAGCTGGTATGTTTTCCATTTGATTATTTTAGAATTTATTTATACATATATTGTCTTGTCATTTCTAAAAAGTGCGAAATAAAATTGGGGCTCAAGATTTAGAAGAATACAAAGAGTAGTGTATCTGCTCTAATGGAAGAATCGAAGCCATGTTATTATTATTATTTATTATTTATTTTAACACATAGATATTGGTACAAGGAGGCACCAAATACATATGCGCCACACAAATCTCATTCGATATATGTGAGGGCTGTGATACTGCCCGGGTGCCCAAACCGAAACAGGTGGTTTTCTTAGGGGACCACACCCCAAGCCTTCGACCTGAAGGTCTGATCCACAAGGCAGTGGAGCAACGTAAGGAGATGCAGTCCCATGGTAGCCGGTGGCCAACGATCGGTTCATACGCCATTTGTTCCCGCAGGATAATGGAGCCCATGTGCACCATTGGTTTGGGATCCGGTTAAAGCACTGGACATTCGCTTTCCGTCCTCTCAGTTTCGTAAACAACACCCTCGCCACGAGAAGGTAGTGAGTAGAACCTCCCTGGCAGAGGCTTATACGCGTGGCCGTGTGAGTGCATTTCGATAGGGAGAGCGGACTCTCCCCACTCTCGGCCATACCAGGGCATTTGGGGGCACCATGTCATTGGTTATTTTCAACCTCTTATTTCGGATTTGTCAGAAGGACTTGATCCAACAGTCAATAACTTCATAAGCTTACTCCACTTCTTGGTCAACATATGGTGGTTCAGCTACTTAGGTATTCAGGTTTTTGTCATCAAGTCACTAGTTCCAACCTTTCTGTGACTATAAGATATATGGTTTAGTAATTAAAACACAACCTTCAGCCTTTCGATCTCGTGTACGAATCCTTATCCGCATACTTTTCTTTGCAAACAGAATAGTGTCATTAGCCATCACACAATTGTAAATCAGTAATTACTGACTTCATGAACTGTTCCACTCCCTAGTTTTAGCACCTTCGGTTTTCTAGCTTACTTATTTACTAGTCTTATTGGCTCATGAGGATTTGTGGTGGCTATTCACATATATAACATGTGTCCCATACAACTCGGTTAATAATGACTTGTCTTCCGACCAACTGGGGGAAAATTAGGTGGTTGGAGAAAGTGTTTAACATTCCTAACGAATATGGTTATATTTTTTCATTATCCTAATCGTTCTTTTCATCTTAACATGTGTTTCAAATACTCATTTTCATATGTTACTAAGAAGTATAACAAATTGAACTATTTAATTATCATGAATTCATTTTTTGTTGAAAGTTTATTTTTGGACTCAATGAGTCTATTATATGAAAAGAGATGATTAAAAGGACCAACCATGTAAGTAAGTTGTTTTCACTTCCAACCACAAATAATCACTACATAAAATGAAAGTATTCCACAATTAGTAAAGTCAATAGAATAGATGGAATGGGGCTAATAGTGAAGTCTAGGACGCGCATTTCTTCCTATCTGTAACTCATCAGTTTCCTGAAATCATGAAGTTAACATAATCATTCATTGTGTCAAGTGTCACCAAACCAGTATATGGTACTAAACCATGAAGTCATTAACTGTTGCTCACGACCATGTCGATAAATTCAGATTATCCGGTCAGAGTTTACACTACAAAACGAGATCAGTGATTGAAGACTTTGGATAATGTATAATTCAGAAAGATTCACAATGGTACAAATCCACTCACTCATCATTCTCTCGATCTGAAATCACAATGTTCCTTCTTACATACTTTTCCACTCTGTCTTTTTTTCTCGAACTATATTCCCAATGTTTAGTATTTCATTAATATTATTGCTACTATATTTTTTTACCATTCATCTTATCTTCATCTCGTCATGTTAATCTGATATGACAGCTAGTATCAATTTACACTTGTGTCCTATTTGGTGAAGACGCTGACAAAATGCAGAGTCTTTTGACCACTCTAAGCAACAATGCAAACATGTTCGGGATGCGACTCTCCCATTCGAGATACAAAATGTTACTTCAGGATTGGGTTGCATCGACACCCGAACTAATGATAGGGAGTGAAGTAGTTGAGCGTGTCGACCGCTTCAATTATCTTGGGAGTCTCACCTGCCCTTATGGTCTGGTGTGTGACGAAATCTCAACACGGATACAGAGGGCTCGACTAGGTTTTGCCGACTTGCGTCATTTGTGGCGTAGGAAAGATATCCGTCTACCAACCAAAGAACAGGTTTACTGCATAGCAGTTTGTTCCGTCCTACTTTATGGCAGTGAAACATGGCCGGTAAGACTAGATGATATTCCTAGCTTACTAGTATTCGATCATAGGTGTCTTCGAAACATTGCTCGTATATCCTGGTACCGCCGAGTAAGTAATGCAGTTGTTAGGAAACAGATACTAGGTAAGGATGGGAAATCAATTGATGAAGTAGTGAAACTTCAGTTGAGATGGCCGTGACATGTTACGTATGCCCAACCACCGACTGCCCCGACATGCGATGTTTTTATGTTGTAGGAGTAGGTTAGAAGAAAGCTAGGGGCGGCCGGACCAAAACGTGGCACAAATCCATGAAGTCACTGATAAGTGGACTGAGCCATGTTAGTAGGTGTAGAGTGCCTGGTTTGAATCGGCGAGACGATGCAACCGATGGTTAGAGACCTTGAATGATATGGCTCCGGATGGCGCAGGTGCATCCACTCTTTGTGTTCTCCCAAATTCTAATTTTCTGAATTCTTCATGTCCCTTTACTTGTTTTCTTTCCAAATTTACTTCACTGGATTATACTCCTTGACTAACATCTTCGAAATCTAATCTTCGCGATTACTGTTTGTACTTTTAATTACCTCTACCACTGTGGGATATGAATGGATAATAGTATCTCTGTGGTAATATGGTATGGCAACTCGAACTGATGTACGTACGTACGAAGTTCTAGGTTGTTGCTGACTGACGCTTGTGCCAGACTTTACATGAACTAAACTGACCAATTTACTGAGAATCTTTAGCTTTCATTGAGAGAATATATCTGAAATACTGTACAGTTTGTAAAATGCTATACACTATGTTTAGTATAAAAAAACTACTGATATGATTTACTTGTACATAGTTTCTATTTCCAAAAAATCAAACATTTCTTGTATCCGTCTTATTTTTTGGCATTTAAGTTGTTCTATAATTATACTAACTAACTAATAATTTATGTATTTATATATGGAAAGAATCTAGTGAATGAACTTCAGTTTTATTTATTGCTCAATTGGTCCTACTTCCTACTTTTTTTTAACTTTTCTTTCTCTTTACGGTCATTCTTCTTCTTATTATTATTGTTGTTTTTCTCTTTCTTTTTTCTTAAAACTCATTTAGCTTCGACGTATTGAATATGTACATTCAAAGCATTTAATATATCGTGATGTTAAACCAGAGAATTTTCTTATTGGACGTCAATATTATAATAGACATCGTACTATATATATCATTGATTTTGGTTTAGCTAAAGAATATATTGATCCAGAAACTCAAAAACACATTCCTTATCGTGAACATAAAAGTCTTACTGGTACTGCACGTTATATGAGTATTAATACACATTTAGGCAAAGGTAAATATTATATATATATAATTAATTTTAATAGTTGAGCTCATAAGTCAATTAAAGCTAAACAACTACGGAAAATCTAGAAGCACTGGATGACCGTTTCGTTCCATTGTGGGACTTAGTAGTGTGCATCTACAATCCCTCTTCGCGAGATTCGAATCCAGGACCTATCCGTCTTGTGAGTGAGCGCTTAACCACTAGACCTGGGTTTGAATCTCGCGAGGTGGGGTCGTGGATGCGCATTGTTGAGTAGTCCCACAATAGGACGAAACGCCCCTCCAGTGTTTTCAGGTTTTTCATAGTGGTCTAGCTTCAACTGACTCATGAATTCAACGATTGGAATTATTATAATATCCATAAAAACCCCTTTTGAAATTAATTAATTAGTTTTTTGTAATGCTTAATTACTTTAAGAGTTTAATATTATTTATTAAATCATTTGGTGATGTTTAGTTGATTAACTGATTTTCAAAAAATGTATATTTACTATTTATGATAAAGGTTTATCGTGGTTTAAAAAATAATCAGTCAGTCAGCAACAACGTGAAATCAGACACATATATGCATCGGTCCAAGTTGCCATACCTCATTAGCACTACAAGATGAACACCAAATTCATTGAAGTAGCTAATTCAATGGTGGTAATGTATAAAAGAAAGATTGCATATAAAGATATAGTACAGGGAGAGATAATTAGTTCATAGAAAGAAAAACATGAAGCGATTTTAATCTCATAGTATCATAGTATAAGGGAAGACAGAGAGTGTATACGCCTACACCATTGTGATCGATTCTGAGCCATATCACCCGGAGTCTAATCATTAGCTACAATAGTCGTGCGGACTCCAACCAAGTAGTTTGTATCTATTGACATGGGTTAGAATAGTAGTTAGTGACTTCAAGGACTGATCCCACATTTTGGTTTGACCGACCTTAACATTCTTCCAACCGTCTCCAACACTAGTCAGCATTGCGCGTCATGGTAATCGGTGTTCAAGCATTCAGTTTGGTGCTTAATTTACAAATTTTAGCTATTTCGTATCAAGCTTCTTTTTAAATTGTTCTGTATTATGTCCCGACAACAATAATGAATGGTAACTTTTGGGATCCATTTATGGACCAATACTAAATGTATATTTCTATTGTATAATTATTAAGTAACTAAACTATGCATATTCATATTCCCCCTTATTCTAAGCTGTATTTTCACCCATAAACTATTGTTATATGTTTTACCATTCTTGAGTTATACCCAGTATATTAATTACTACCTCCCTCATTCACAGCCACATCTGGCTAAATCTTGTACAAATGTTTTTTCATATTTTATTGGTACGTTGTAGTCTGTTTGATCGGTATATAAACTCAGTGTGTTTGAAATATAAGGAATCATATCACAGAGGTTCGGATTGTTGTTCTGGACTTAACTGGCTGGGCTAGGTGGAATTATTTTTATTGGTACAAGGAGGCATCTAATACATATGCGCCACACAAATCTCATTCGACATGTGTGAGGGCTGTGATACTGCTCGGGTGCCCAAACCAAAGCAGGACCAATCAGAACTCTAGGCTGCTCGCATGTGTTTACGCATCCTTGGTCCGATCGATAAGTTACTACCCTCTAATCAGCGGTCACAAGTTATAACAATTAGCGATGGGGATGGGATTCGGACCCACGCGGGGAAACCCCCGTTACGTGTCTTGCTTAGAATCTACAAAATTAATCTTGTGTCTGTGTACTTAAAATATGTTTGGTTGCATCAAAGTTTGGAATTAAACTTTGGATAAAAACACAATTTGACTGAATTATTATTGTTTAGTTGCTTTTTGATGATAATGTCATATGAAATTATGTTCCTTCTAAGTCTTGAGTAAACTATAAATTTATTAACTAAAATCTTTTTGAAGAATATCGTATGTACTTAATCATTTGTACTACCACTACTGATACTGTTTCCTGTGGTGTCCCTTCCAGTCCTCCTGGTTTGGTAAAACTGGTTGATTTTCTAGAAACATCAATGGGTTATAACACAGGACAACTACCGGGGTGTTATAGTTGTTTATATTTTACACTTTCTTGGCTGTATTTCTTGCCAGATAATTGCCGACTATTTGTACACTGATTGACAATTCCTTTCTGTGTTGGAACGATGTTTTTTAAAGACCTCGGATGGGCACTGATGTTCATTGTTATGATTTGATTCGCTTGACTATATATTTGTTTTAGTCTTTTGGGTTGCATCTTCCATTTGAGTTATGGGTCGTTTGAATGTATCTTCATAGCCACCCTTTTGTCCCATAGATTTTCAACGCGATGAGCGCAATTTTGAGTCCGATCACGTTTGTTTTTGGTTTTGCTCGAAGTGTGATCATTTTTTCTAATAACTGTCCATTTTCTTTGTGGTTCCAAATATTCCGTTACAGCTTTCGTTCATGAATTTGTATATTTGGTCTCCTTCTCCAATTATCTTCAGTTCCCATTTATCATATGTATTGAGTTTTATTTTGGATGAGTTTTTTTGTCAACCCATTAAGAGGAAGTTGCTTCTTAAGTGACTCCATGTTTCCTTCTATCACTGATACTGTTACTACTTCTAACACTCTGGTATTTGTTTTAATAATTTCATCTTACCGTTTTAATCTGGTATGATGACCTGAACCAATACATATATGTGCCAAGTTTCACGTTGTGCATAACTGACTGACTAGTATTACATACTTGTTAATTTAATTTGGTAGTCAAAGTCAGTATGGGTCACCTTAGATCCATAGAATCCGATCCAATTTGCTTACACTAACCTGGCACAATATTTGTCAGTTGATATTATCATTATTATTACTATTTTTATTATTATCATCATCGATATTTCATGAACGATCAAGGATTACTGCGAATCATCATTGCCTAATTGTAACCTTATTTGATTTTAGTGTTTTCTTTTTCGTTGTTTTTTTTTCAGAACAATCTCGACGTGATGATTTAGAGGCCTTAGGTCATATGTTTTTATATTTTCTACGTGGTAGTCTACCTTGGCAAGGTTTAAAAGCTGAAAATCTACGTGAACGTTATCAGAAAATTGGTGATACAAAACGTGCAACTCCTATTGATGTTTTATGTCATGGTTACCCCGGTAAAATATATACTAAGATAATGTTTTTTTTGTGTGTGTGTGTTTACGGTCTTTCCATGTTGGAATGATGTAATTAATAGGACATGTTATATCATATAATATAGTTTTATTGCTATAGTATAATTTCTTTTCATGGGTAACACTAATCTTCCCGATTACTGCTTACACTCTTATTACCTCTACCACTACGGGATTTGAATCGACCACTGCATCTGTGTGCTAATGTGGTGTGGCAACTCGAACTGATGTACGTACGTACGAAGTTCTACGTTGTTACTGACTGACTGACTGTCATGAGTAATCATACCTTTTGTTAGTACATATATTTAAAATGTATAATAGAATTCAATGATTATGTAATACTCATGTAGGTCTACACTTACCTATATTCAAAGCTGCTTAACATTTTTGTTGCTAAATATCCCTTATTCTGATGTATAGTACTGAAGTGATAATAGCAGTTAAATGAATGACAAGTTCTTGTTGATTATAGTTTATTCATTTTCAATCTTCTTGTTTTTTGATGTTTTGACAAGCGGTGTAAAATACATCAGTTCAAATAGTTCTAAATAAAGGAAAAATGTAAGATTTCAATTTTAAACATCATTATCTCCGTAAGACTATTGACATCTGATAGGAATACCGTGTAAATCACATTGAAATCGTGTATTGTGTCTTTGAACATAATGAAGATCTAAATTGGATGAGGGGGTGTGGCCTCCTAAGAATACCACATGCTTCGGTTTGGGCATCCGAGCAGTATCCCAGCCCTCGTACAAATTAAATGATTTATATGGCGCATATGCATTTGATAGCCCCTTGTAAATTGTATGAGTGTTATTATGCTGAACTACCAGTTCTAGTGTGATAGTCTTGCTCCTTGCATTATGTGAATTGTTGTTTATTGATATTGGGACTGGTATTATTTATTTATTTATTTGAACACATGAATATTGGTACAAGAGAGCGCCAATATATATGCGCCACACAAAACAATGAGAATTCGAAGAGAAGTAGAAAAAAACTAAGGAGCGCAAAAGAAAAAGAGAACAGTGACGAAGAGATTGGAGTAAGGTAGTGTGGTAGTAACGACGGAACGAAAAGGTACAATCAGAAGAAATCTTTCAGGTAAGGGAGACACAACCACTTTTTTATGAAGAAAGTAAAAGAAGGTTACAGCAGGATCGACACTGGCTTCTATTCCGAGCCATATCTGATAACGTCTCTAGCCACTGTGTAGCATCATCTCTCAGACCCCAACCAGGGAGTCGTGAAGGACCAACACAAGCCAGTCCTTTGCAGCTTTCTTTCATGCCACGACACCATGTCATGTACTGACCACCTCTCCGCTTCTTCCAACCAGTCCCAGAGTCGGCAAATAATGCACGACGTGGAATTCTCTGGGACGACATTCGGAGAACATGTCCAAGCCACCGAAGTCGGTGTTTCAAGATGGTGACACCAATTGAGTTATCATCTCTGTGCCCGAACACACGATGCCGAACCTCTGCATTACTGACATGGTGTTTCCACTGAATGTCAGCAATCCTTCGGAGACAGCGATGATCGAACACAGAGAGTCGTCTAACGTCCTCAACTCGGAGAGGCCAGGTTTCACAAGCATAGAGCAAAACTGCTCTCACCGACGCGTTGTAGATCCGACCTTTTACAGCCAGACTAACATCACAAAGGCTCCAAAGGTGGCCCAGATTGGCATAAGCCGCTCTGGCTTTCACTATTCGTGCATTGATCTCATCACTCACACCCCCACCAGCACTTATGCAGCTACCCAGATACACGAACTTCTCGACTACTTCTATCTGTTCACCATCCAGGGTGAGTACAGGATTGGAATCCTGCCAGTCTTGTAGAAGTACTTGGCACTTCGAAGGTGCGAAGCACATACCATACCTACGGACACTGATTGCCAACTGATTAAGTGTGGATTGCATGCCTTGGGCATTATCGCACAGTAAGACAATATCGTCCGCATACTCAAGATCGAGAAGTCTTTCTCCAGGCAACAGATCCACACCACCATTACTTACATCCATCAGAGCTGTTTCCAGAATGTCATCGATGGCAAAGTTGAAGAGGAATGGTGAGATTGGGCAACCCTGTCTAACCCCACTGATCGAATGGAACAATGGAGAGAGGTGGTTGTATGCCCTCACTCTGCCTGAGGTGTTTTTATATAGGGCTTTTAGGATGTTAATAAACTTCTCAGGCACACCCTTCTTCAATAGACAATCCCAGAGAACAGTCCTGTCCAACGAATCGAAGGCAGCCCTGATGTCAAGAAACACTACGATTGTTGCCTTTGATAAGTATGGCGGTGTTCTAACATTTGGCGGAGGGTGAAGATATGATCAATACATCCTCGACCAGAACGAAAACCAGCCTGCTCCTCGCGAGTTCATCTTTCTCGGGTTTTGAACAACCTACGAAGAATGACGGAAGCCAATAGCTTGGACGCAATCGGAAGTAAACTTATCCCCCGATAGTTGTTACAGGAACGACGTGAACCCTTTTTAAAGATAGGGACAACTATCGACTCATTCCATGACGTTGGTACACTCTCTAGTTCCCAAACCTTTGTAAACAACGTCGTCAATTCCTTAGTCAAAAAGTCACCACCATATTTAAAAAGAGCCGGAGGTAAGTCATCTGGGCCAGGTGATTTGTAACGTTTCAAGAGTTGGAGTTCCTTGCGGACTTCCTCCTCATTTGGTGGATCAGTCGTCACCGGCCATGGAGGGCAGGACAGTCTGACCGATGTTGTCGGAGCAGCAGGCCAGTTGAACTGCCCTTCGAAAAATTCTGCCCATCGTCCAAGACGTCGATGGATGTTAGTGATTGGCATCCCATCATCCTCGCAGATTGTTTCACTCACACCAGACTTCTTGCTGCCAGTGGCTCGGATGAGCTGGAAGAGCTTCCGGTAGTTACCAGATGCAGCTGCTGCTTCCAGCTCATTAGCACGCATCGACCACCAGGCTTCTCGGTCCTTACGCAAGCTTTGCCCAATTTCCTTACGTAACATCCTTCGTTTATGGTCAAACTCACGGTCACCCGGAGTAGACCGACGGGCTTCAATGAGTTGTAAGGAACCTGGAGAAACCCAGTGCTTAAAAGTGGGACGTTTCGCAAACCCACAACTGACTGTTCCCGCCATTTTCATGGCGTCATGCAATTGCAACCAATGCTCATCTATACTTTTCGGTGGAGTGGTAGCTAGCCTAGAGGCTAGCTCGGTTCGATACTTACTAGCAACAGAAGTTGCAACCAGCTTGCTAACATCAATCTATTGGTGGTGGTCACTTCGTTGTCCACTGAAAAGTAAGGCAAGATTGGCGCAGACCAAGGCATGGTCAGAGTCCAGATAGGTACTCCAAAAGGAGCGGCAGTCTTTTACACAACCACGCCAGCGGTAGCTGATCGCGATGTGATCAATCTGAGTCCAGGCTTGGGATGCAGAGGGAGGACGCCAGGTGGCACATCGGCGATGACTGTGCCGAAAGTTAGTGCTAGCCAGAAACAGGTTGTGGTCTGTGCACAGTTGCAGTAGACGGTCCCCGTTATGACCTGCGACTAACGAGTCCCCATCGGCCACTTAAACGTCTCTCTCCTGTGCCTAGACGCCCGACCTGAGCATTCAAGTCCCCGGCTAGTACTACAAAATCTGTCGAACGCACTTTCTGGAGAACAGATAACTGGTGGTAAAACTCATCCTTGATTGCATCCGGGCTGCAATCTGTCGGGGCATAGGCGGAGATGACGAAAAGACATCGTTTCTCACGCCGATTTCTTCTCACTTTGATGGAACTTTCTAATCTAACAGCACATAACCGACTGTTAATGGGGATCCAATCGACTAGTGCTGCCTCAGCTCTAGCGCTTAGTGCGACACCAACGCCAGCAAGACCAGACGAAGATGCCACAGGGTCCCCGGATAAGCGCACGTAAAACAAGCTTTTCGAAGCGACAGATGGAGATCGAATTTGTAGTACTTCGCCAGAGTCTTGAATACGGATCTCGGATAGACAACAAACATCAATATTAAGACTTTCCAAAGACATAGCCGGCCCTATATGTTGACCAACCCGCATAAGTGTGCGAACGTTGAAGGCAGCCAGTTTGAATGGTGCATGTGGTTTCAGAAAAACTGCTTCAGTACTCATATTCAATGGTAACATACAATTTTCAACCGGACAGTGACTCGAGAACGTTTAGATACAGTCGGATTTCCACCAAAGACGAGCCGCTGTATAAGTATAAAAGAGGGTGAATAATGTGGAAAATAATAATAATAATAATAATAATAATAATAATAATAAGAAGAAGAAGAAGAAGAAGAAGAAGAATTACAATAATAGTAATAATAATAATAATAGTATTAATAATGACAATAATTGTAATGATAATAATTTGAATCAATTGATTGTTTTTCGAAGCGAGAAAAATAATTTCCATAGACATAAAGAGTTCATCATTTGTGTGTGGGCTGTGATACTGCCCGGGTGCCCAAACCGAAGCAGGTGGTTATCTTAGGGGGCCACACCCCGAGCCTTTGACCTAAAGGTCTAACCCACAAGGCAGTGGAGCATCGTAAGGAGATGCAGTCCCATGGAAGCCGGTGACCAACGATTGGTTCATACGCCATTTGTTCCCGCAGGATACTGGAGCCCATGTGCACCATTGATTTGGAATCCGGTTAAAGCGCCGGACATTCGCTTTTCGTCCTCTCATTTTCGTAAACAACACCCCCGCCACGAGAAGGCAATGAGTAAGACTTCCCTGGCAGAGGCTGTATACGCGTGGCCATGTGAGAGTATTTCGAGAGGGAGAGCGGACTCTCCCCACTCTCGGCCGTACCAGGGCATTCAGGGGACACCTGGTTGGATAAGTTAGGTGGTGGTGATTAGTCCATGACGTTTCACTGTAGATTGACCGAGATCATAAGGATTATATGGCTAAGAGCTTTGAGACACATGTATCAGAAACATAGAACCTTTCACTAAACATGTATTGGCTCAAGCTGTCATATCGGATTATCATGACGAGGTGAAAATGATAAGATGAATGGTAAAAATAAAATATCGAAGTAATGTAGTGGCAATAACACTAATGAAGTATGGTTCGTGAAAAAAAGACACAGTGGAACATTGTGATTTCAGATTGAGATGATAATGAGTGAATGGATTTGTACCATTGTGAATCTTTCTGAATTATATGTCATTCAAAGTCTTTAATCATTGATCGTATTTTATAGTGTGGTCTCTGACTGGATAATTTGGATTCATCAATATAGCTGTGAGCAACAGTCATTGACTTCATGATTTATTGTCATATCTTCGTTCGACCGTTATCTAACCCAGTTCGCATTATAACCGAATAGTTGGTTCTGATATGACTTACAGCAGAGTTCTTTCTGATATGTTATGTTAATCTACAATGAAATTTCTTCATCATGATATCTTTCTGTCTAACATGGAGTTCATATGAAAGTTATTTATTTTTATCTTATTTACACACATAAACATTGGTACAAAGAGACACGAAATATATATGCGCTACATAAATCATTCGATTTGTGTGAGAGCTGGGATGCTGTCCAGGTGTCCAAACCGAAGCAGGTAGTTTTCTTAGGGGGCCACATCCGGAGCCTTCAACCTAAAGGTCTGACCCAAAAGACAGTGAAGCAACATGAAAAGATGCAGTCATATGATAGTCGATGACCAGCGACTGGTTCATACGCCATTTGTTCTCTCAGGATACTAGAGCCAGCCTATGTGCACCATTGGTTTGGAATGAAGGTTTTCCAACTCGTTTCGGTTGACTCTCCGTATCCACTAACCCAGTTGAAGCGTCGGACATTTGCTTTTCATCCTCTCAATTTCGTAAGCAACGCCCCCCTCCGTGAGAATGTAGTGAGTAGTAAAGTTGTATGGAAGTGGTAACACTAATCTATGTATGAATACTTTTTTAGTCAAAGAATCGTTTATTTTCTGATAGTTATTCTTCGCTATTTGTTCAAACGATTCATTCAAGCGTATATCATCTTGTCTTCAAAGATATATATATTTCTCTCTCTATTATTTATATTTTTTTTTCATGATTCATTTCTATGATAGATGTGAACTAGTACAAATCTATACTGAATGTTGTACACTTTTCTCATTCTAATCAAATTGTTTAGGTTATGCCTATGTATCATGGTGTTCTATGATCTTTTTATGACATTCGAACTAAGTGTGTTGCTTTCCTTGGGTTTTTCTTGTCAACTATTATTCTTTTCTTGAATATAATAATCATAATAATAATGGTGAAACGTCAATATACGTTTATCAAAGATGTTTTCTTAATAGTATTGTTTGATAATTTTTATTCTTAGCTTATATTTGTTTTCAAGTATTGATTTACTTCTAGGTTTAAACTTGCGATACGAATGATAGCATGTTATAAAAGTTAGTCAGTCGGTCAGTCAGTTAGTCAGTTATAAGGAATTTAGAGCCGGGATATATGTGTATCAGTTCAATTTCTCACTTGATGCGATAAAATCATCTAGATCAATCACAGAGTATTAGGAGTAGTAACAGTACTAACTAAAGTAAAAAAGAATAACCATAGACAATATGATTTGAAAAGGAGTGAATTTAATGAATAGAAAATGTAAATAAGTTCTCAAATTTGTGATCTCAGAGAAGATAAAGAGTGAATAAATCTGCGCTGTTATAATCGATTCTAAGCCATGTCACTCAAAGTCTCCAACCATTGGTTACAGCCCCCATTATCTTTGGTACGTCTGAGGGTTAGGAGATTTCGCTCGCCCTCTCAAAATGCTCTCAAATTGTCACACATAAATAGCCACTGCCAAGCTAGTCTTGCTCACTACCTTCTCGAGAAGGGGCTGCTGTTCACGAAATTGAGAGGACGAAACGCGAATTTTCATCACCTTAAACGGAATGGTAAATATAGAGGAAGTTGAAAAACCCTTATTCGAAACCAGTGATACACATGAGCTTCAGGATCCTGAGGGAGTAGATTGAGTATGAACCAATTTTGGGTCACCGTTCACCATGTGACTGCATCTCCTGACGTTGCTCTACTGCCTTGTGAATGAAACATCTAAATCAGAGGCCCGGGGACTATATCCCCTAAGAAAACCACCTTCATGGACGGACACCGCCTCTTGGTTTAATCACCTTCAGCCTAATTCCTGTCTACTTTCACACCAGCTCGACTCTCGCATGGAGGTTGGCGATTGTTTTGCATACATAATGCATGTCTTAACTACATCAACCCATGAAGACTCGTTTTTTGATGTATAATGTGGTGATGGTGCCGACAGTAATAAGCTTTGTTAAAGAAGAAGCATGGTTTTAATGACTACCTATCCGCTTATATAATTTCATTTTATGTAATGCTGCTTTATCTAAGTCTATTGTTGATTCACTTATGCCATTGTCTAGAAAACAATCAAATCGTCCATTTCTGTGCATAAAACATCTTTCTGAATAGAAAATCTTCACCTCAGTTGTATCAGGAAATTTGGGGGTTGTAAACCAAAATTTTTATGTGAAGATTAATTGTAGTATTATCTTGTTGAAAATCGGCTTATCAGTTAGACGACTTGTCTGTTAGTGACTTATAGGTTACTAGTTGGAACCCCACTCGACATACATTGATTTAAGCATCCAGGTAGTTTCACTAGGCCTCATACAATTAAAGTTTGACTCAAATCAGAATGCATAAACTGTTATAGTTTTTAAATAAATGAAAATCATTCATTGTGCTGACCAATTAATGAGGATGTAGTTGAGACCAGGTTGAAAGTGACAATCCGACAGTTGAAATCCCTGTGCTTTCATCTCTTTTTTTTCACATCAAAAGTGTAACTCAACGTTTTAAAGCACATGAATTGATTCATATTTACTTAAATAATAATTCAGTATTTGCTCATTATATATATATGTGTAAAAGTTGTTGTAACACACTTGAAAACTCAAATTCAATTCAATTATCTACCAGGTCAATAGTTTGTTTATGTTATGCCAATTTTTTTTCATGTTTTCTTTTAGAAATGGCTACCTATTTACGATATGTTCGAAGTTTAGATTTTTTTGAAGAACCTAACTATGAGTATTTACGTTGGGGATTTACTGATTTAATGCAAAGAAAAGGTTGGGAATGTGATTGGGAATTCGATTGGTGCAGTCGACCGTTACCTGGATCTAAAGTAAACTATATATGTATATATTGAATGTTAGAATTGATTAGTTACTAAGTTATGACCAATGTTAAGTTTGTCTGGTCTTTAAGTGCTGATCGAATTCGGTCAAGCTAGTTGTAATGTAGTCAAAAACCTGAGTGGCTCGATTAAAAGTACTCGACAGGAGACTCTGGATGTAGATTTGGTGCCCATTAGCATGATGTACCTAGAATCTTGAGGGAGCTGATGTTCCTTGTGAGATTCGAAATCTTGTCTCCCAGCTTCACATATTGAGACGTTACCACTAAGCTGTTCTGTTTACAACTCAACTACCACCAAGCATCTAGCAATAAATGTTAGAGTATCTATCCTTACTTTTAGAAAGTATCTATAAATGACTATTTCGTTTCGGATGGATGACTTGCACTAAACCGGTTAACGCATAGTTCATGTCATCATCTTTAATAGGGATTAGTAAATGTTCATACGTATGTATCAATTTTAATTGAATAAGATTATTATATTTACTAAAATTGCTGATAATAAGTCAGAATTCTATCCTGTAGATGTCATGATTAAATTATTTTGTGTATAGATTGTTCATACCATCAAACTACTTGAATTAAAAATAGAGATAAGGTTAAGACCTAAACTCATTATTGGTAACATTACTAGCTCATTGAAATTGTTTAAAATTAGTTTGGCTGTCTAGTTTTCCGGCTTAACCGATGAGAGTTTGGGTCATTGACTGACGACATACATTGGGTGCCATCTGTGACAAGTTCGAGACACCCGTGTACCTACCATAGCACAAGTATTGTCACATATCAATTCGTTTCGTATGACTTAGTGAATGTGAAAATTGATCTTAGATCTTCGGAAGTATATGCAAGTTGCCATTATTTGCATCATATATATCTTTAGAGCATTCATCATGCTTGACCAAACAACCAGAAAAGTTACGCTCAATTCTAGGTATAAATTGGTTAGTCGATATATTAGGCAGGACAATTCTCATCAATTGAATTCATTGGGATATTATTGCTCATATCTCCTCAAACTGGAGAAATTGTCCATCATAGGAGAAGTAGGTTGGAAAAAGGTTGAGGTCACATCTTATTGAGACATATTATTAGTTCATAGAATCACTAACTATTGAACGTGAATGTATGAGCATGTCCACATTACTTAATTGAGACTAACAGGCTACAGGTTTTCTTACCTCTTACCTCATGTTTACAATTAAAGAACTATACTTTTCTACTGGTTTTCGGGAATATATAACAAATAAATTTCATAATTGAAATCATGAACTAGTTTTAGTTAGACTATTATTAAAAACCTGGGAGTATTAAAAGGGCGTTCATTCCAAAATGGGACGTCTTAGCCGCGCACACCCACGACCTTCAGTCTTGTGCATAAACACTTAAACTTTAAACGACAGCTGACTAACTTCAATAGGCAACTTCTGGAGTTCTAGTGGGAAACCGTGACTACTGCAGCTCAACCATATCGAGTGTACGACAGTCATCCTCCACAAACAATGGAACAAGGTTAAGCAACATCGTGGATTAATTGAAGTTAAATAGTAACACTGGATGCCCCTTTAAATAATCTCAAATACAACTTGTCGTGTTACGGTTCGTATTTGCACTCGCTATATTCATTTTTAACTATAATCATCTAACTTGATAAACACTGATAAAAAACATTCTTATTTCACCGATTGATGTGTGGATGAGGATGATAATGATTGGTTGTTTGCTTAGTTAGAATTATAGACAGTCTGACAGGTACTAGATGAGTTATACATTACTTTACCCTTATTATCACTGTGATTGTTGTTGGATTGTGTCGGATTGTTATCGGTTTTTGGTGTGGAAATATATTTACGTTCTAGCCAGGCTAATCACGTGTTCTTGATCTGAGTTGTGTTGAGGTCCTGCGGTATAGACACTGGAACGGAATATAGTGTAGATATTCGTCTACGGCAAATTAACATCCTATTCGTGTAGACATGGAAAACCAAGCGTTATAACACAATGACTTTGGTTTGTATAATTAATTTTTCTGACGAGTTTCTATCTGCATCGAAATTCACTTGTGAATATAATGATGAGAGTCATTTATCGGACGGTCCTCAACATATTTTGAAGTTTTCTTACTATTCAATATTTAATAATGTATCATTTACCATTGTTGTTATTCATCTTCTTTATGGGTTTTAGCCTCCAGGATCTACACATACATCTGGCGGACAGGCAGTAAATCCACCATTAACTAACGTTCCTGCTGGGAATGCTAGTTGTATGAATAATGGTGTACAAAACACATCTGGACTTACTTCTCCTACTCATCATCCAGTGAATGGTAATCAACAAAGTCCTGGTGTTAATGGTGGGCATCATGCAATGGGATTAACTGGAACACCTTTATTAGATCCTGGTACTTCTCATTGGCCACCTACTGGGCAATCAAATAATGTACCTAGTTATATCAATGAAGATGGCGGTACATCACCAAATGAATTAAGATATAAAGTTGATGAATATTTACCTTCCTATTTTGGTCAGGTTAGTTTATACATATATATTAAGATTTACGTTAAAATGTTTTTAATTTTGTTTACTTCCAAAGTGTACATCCATTAAAATTTTCATTATTGTATGCATTCATCTAATTTTTTATTAGCAAACCACAAATCAAACTATTATGCATACCGGTCTTCTTGGTGCTAATAAAATTGGTTCACCTAATGACGGTATTGTAGATGATGTTGGACCTACTGGTGTTGGCGGCGGTGGTGCTATGCCCACTTCAAACTCTAGTGGTTTGCCATATGGTGGCGGTGGTGCTGTATCCGGTACAAATGCCGGTGGTACACATATTCGGAATATAACCGGTTTATACAGTGGCGGTGGTCCAGAAGAAACTATGGCTCGAGATATTGATGACAATTTAGGCATGGGAGTTGGCATGACAGCAACAGAATCATCGCCTGAAAATGTAGTTGGCGCTGAACAAGATGATATACAAAGTCAATCAGGGTAAGTTTGCAATGTTTTCTTTCTTGAGAAGAGAGTTGAAAGGACGATCTCATAATTTAGAATAATCTTTAGTTCGAAAACACTTAATCTTTATACTGATGACTTAAACACTCTTTGTGTATGGGTTTGAGATAATTTTCCTATTTGTTTTGTTCACCAATTTGTAGTCTTTTTTGTGTTAGTTCATCTACATTCCTCTTCTTAGTTAATATTTCACGTTTAACATCGATATTATTACAGAAAGTTTATTTAATCAACTGAAAATCTCATCTCTTCTACTTATTCGAAATAAAATTAGTTACTATTAAACTTATCCTTTTATTTCAATGGTTGATATCATGAGTCAATTGGAGCTAGATCACCATGGAAAACCTGGAAGCACTGGACGGCCGTTCCATCCTATTATGGAACTCCTCAGCACTGTATGTATGTGTATATGTATGATGTGTTCGTATAATCTTTAGAAATATTCATCATACACGTTTACATACCATTGTGCATTTTAGGGCAGAATAAATGCTAATATCATGGTAAACTTTAAAATTACATAGAGTAAGTTGGAATTTATATTTTATTCAATAGGCAACGGGATTGCTGGCTCATTCAGCAACAGATGCGTATCCTTGTCTTCATCTCTCAGTTTATTTATTTATTTTGATATGACAGAACCCCTCCCCCCATGAGAAAGGCAAATGGGCACCAAAATATGTATACGTCATACAAATCACTAAATTTATGTGAGGTGTGGGATACTACTAAGATGCCAAAATCTATGCAAGTGGTTTTCTCAGGAGCTAACTCCTTGAGGCTTTAACTTAGAGGTCTTATCCACAATACAGTGTGGCAACATTGTGAGATGCGATTACATGGGGGGGGTTCGTACTCCATTTGTTCCCTGAGGATTCTGGTAGTCAATGCTCACCATTGGTTTGGAATTAGGGTTTTCCAACCTCTCTAGATGGATCCTCCATGTCTAACATCCTCTTTAAGGCGCCGAGAATTCGCTTTTTCATCCTCTCAATTTCGTGAACAGCAGCCCCTTCTCGAGAAGGCAGTGATTAGGACTAGCTTGGCAGTGGCTATATATGTGTGACCATGTGCGAGCATTTGGAGGAGTGCGGACTTTCCTCATCTTCTGTCGTTCCAGTGCATTTAGAGGTAGGTCACCAACTGATTTTAGCTAGTCATCTTTCGGAAATGTGGGAGCACAAGATGACCATGCCGTCCAAGTATGGGACTCCTAACTACGACCACACATATGAGTGAACTCGCAACCTTTATATTACTGAGTCGGCATCCAAAAGTGTTGTTGTGCAACTTCAATTAATTCCCAACGTTGCTTAACCTTGATCTATTGACTGTGGAGGATGACTGTCGTACACTCAATATGGTTGAGCTGCAGTAGTCATGATTTCTCACTAGAACTGCAGAAGTTGCCTGTTGAAGTTAGTCATTATTGAGGACATAATAATTGTTATTATTATCATTATTAACATCACTATTGTTATTTATTTATCAATTATTATTATTCTATTCATTGTCTGTGTACGTGATATTACTTTCAATGGAAGCATTATATTTTCTTTTTTTAATGTACGTAGTTGTTGCGGCTGCTTTGGTCAACGGTCTAAAAATCGACGTCTTCGATCTCAGTTTATCTAGTATTTCTACTATCGTCTGGTATCCGTGTCTGTCTCATCCAGAAAAGAGTTATGGTAACGACGATGATGCTCATGTTTGTATGTGTGTTTATATGTGTATGTAATTCCGATGTGTTATTATTGCTTTGATACATTTTGATATTTTCCGTTGAATAATTTGAACGGTGTATTATTATGATTATTATTGTTGCTATAGCTACTATTGTATTATAATAATGTATATGTGTTTGTACACATGATATTTGCTTCGCCTTTCTCTCGTTTTGTTCCTTTCGTGTTTTGTTTTTTTCCACATTACAATACCTATAATTGTGACATAATCGTGTCGTATAATGAATTATTCCATGTCCTGTTCTGGCCTCCTCACCTTTATGTTGACGTTTTAGCATTTACTGGATACTACTACTATTACTACTACTGATAACAACAATGCAGTAACCACCGACATATTGGATAAGACAGTTAATAATGACCGGATAAAAATTCATTGGATACATAAAGTTTTTTTGCTAAAAATAAAAATCTCAGGATTTATCTATTCATTGTGTTTCTCTCTCCCCCTTCCCCCCTTTTTTCTTGATTTTATTTTATCCCAGCAATAAGTCTTTTTGATAATTCATTATTTCTTTATCTGTTTGTGTTGTTTTTTTCTTTTTTTTTGTTTTCCTTACGAAACAGCTTTTCATTTTTGTATAATCTACGTGTATGGATGATGTAAGAATGATATCGAGTTGTTTTTCCCTTCTTTCTTTTTTTTCATAGAGATCGGTGAAATAGTGTTGGTGTTTGTTTTTTTGAAATAATTTTTTTGTGTGCCCATTTATCATTTATACACAAATACATCATTACCCCTATTAGAGTTGTCTTTCAAAGTGGCCTTTTTCATTATTATTCTATACAACATGTACATATTAAAGGATAGATGAACATTAAATGAGAGAGTTTATAATATGATAGAATGACCCCCTTCTATTTCTCCACTTTCAATTTTTCTCGTTTTTTCTTTTTTTTCTTTCTTTCTTTCTTCCTCTCTCTCTCCCTCTCTTTGTATGTGTTTTTCTTGTTACGTCATAATTCCAGCTACATTCACACATCTAATATATCCTATGTGTAAAGTCTCATTGTTCAATACCGAAGAATTAAGTATATAGGTAAACATACAAAAAAAGTGTGTAATTACAAAGAGCTGTTCTTTTCCTTTTTTTTTCTGTTTAGGAGTTTTTAAGGTGTGTGTGTGTTCCCACTTACTCACCTTCTCATACACACACGCACACACACTAACAAACAAACATTATTCTTGAATATTATTTTGACTACCATTGTTTATTATTATTGTGTAATCCTATGTCTTTGTTCTATACTTGTATTATTTTGTGTGGTTTTCTTTTTGTAATATGTTACACAATATTTTCTGAGCATAGAAACGACGACATTTCATTTCTCAGTCGTATCAATTGTTGTTTTATGGAATAATTCTTGTCTAAAGAAGAGGATGTTGTTTTGTTTTTGTATTTTTTCCTCTTTCTTTCTTTCTTTTAACCGATTGACAATTCTCTCAATAATACGCTTTTTTTGTATACATACCCATACTGTTTAACGGTTTTCTTTAAGGATAGTGAATTCAGTCATGTTATTATTGTTTCCTTCATTTTTTTCTCTCTCTCTCTCTCTCTCTTAAAAAGATATCATTGTTATTTTGTTATTGTTCTAAATCATTTTACTCTTTCATGAATGAATATTATCTCTATGGCTCATTATGAAGAAAGAAAAAAAGAAAAAAGAACATTTAAAAGAAAAAAGGAATTGATAAAAGAACTACTGTTATTACCGGCGCTGATATTGCTATGCATATACAATCTCTTCCTTTATCCCAGGGTCCAATTGTGACCAATATTGTAATTCCATAATTATATTGGTTAATATATATATATATGTACTTGTTTGTGTATTCATGTGCCTGTACATAGTTTTATTGTTTGAATTCTGTACATGGCTAGGTAGTGGATTTTTCACTTCTCATTCATAGACATACAAAATATAAAATCTCTTTATTATTATTATTATTCAATAATCGCTTCCAATTTTATGATAGTTCAACAGTTAGGTTGTATTGGTGAATCCTTTCTCCTTTATGTATATCTGTAGTTGCGCTTATAGCTGCTACATAATATATATACATATTACTTTCGAATGATTTTGTCTTGCTGTGTCTTGTTGTTTTTCTTCTTCCTCTTCAATTTTTCTCCTTGTTCAGTTCGGCTTCTTTTTTTAAAAATTTTTTCGCTGCATATGTGTAGCGTAATGTTTATCATTATTTTGATTTGTATTGTAACCAATACATAAACTTAAGTGCGCTCATCTGTATTTATATTTATGTATTATTGTGTGTGTGGGTGTGTGCTTTTCCTTGGCTTCTTTTTACCGTATACAATAAAATGAGTGTTCTTATATTGGTTTTCTTCAAAAGTGAACAAAGGTTTGTCTACTATAATTCTCATTGTTTACAACAATCAACCGTTCTTGATCTTAACACATACACTCACACACACACACACATACCTCTCCTAACGACATTATCAATGGTAAGCGTTGTCACTCATCTCCTAATACAAGAGAAAGTATAGAATAAATCATTTTGACCATGAATATCTACCATATGATAAAGTGAAAGTTTGAATGACAGTAGTAGTAGTAGTAGTAGTAGTAGTGAACAAGCGCTTCCAATAAATTTAACTTCCATTGTCTTCATATTTTTACATTATTCTCACCTTTAGAGGGAATGGATGACCATATGTCGTACAAAGTGTTTATGCATATATGCATATGTATATTTATTTATCCGATTGTACTCATTCGATTTTTGCTTCGTTTTCTTCTCTTCAATAATTTCGTATTCCTTTTTCAAATCATTATTCTGACACTTGATATAACATGTTTTCATATGATTGACAAATGAACATATGACGCTAAATTTTGATTTGAATGTATAACTAACTATGTTGTTGATATTACTACTTCTACTGCTACTAATACTACTTAAATGATAGTAATTACATGATATGTAAAATTCTTCAAAGCATAGGCTTATTATAGAATGATTTATGTGTGTGTGTGTGTGTGATGGCGCTATTGTACCTGCTTGTTTCTTTCTGTTGCATAAAAGCTTATTATTAATCTTTTTCATATCCTTTCAATTGATTGTCATTCCCTTATATTCATAGTAATTTATTAATAATGATTACTGATAAGTTTGACAGGAAGGTTTCTGTGTGTAACCTGTTTGTTTTTCTTTTCTTTTTTTTGTTTCAAGCAAACAAAGAACGAAAAAAAGGGTGTTTTTTCCCTTTACACATTCACATCTGTATGTATACATGTTAGATACAAAAGTTTTTTCTTTCTTTCTGTTGTAATTTGATGCAATTCAGGCTAATGTTTTTTGCGGGTTGTTTTTTGTTCCTCTTCTTTTCAATATTATGATATGATGGAATTATTTCTATGATATAATGTTGATTGTACTATGTAAGGATATATGTGACAAAATGATTAATAACCTTCCAGGATTAAGGGTTTATATCCCACTATGGATTGTCGGCAACAACGTAGAACTTCGTACGTGTATGTACATCAATTCGAGCAATTTCAAAGGTAACACGTGTACATCAGTTCAGGTTGGTGTATTTCATAGTACAGCGAGATGAAAGTGTTTGCAGAGATCTTAGAGTGGTAGAGTTATCGACAGGAGTCATAATAATAGAAAAGATTAAGCATCCAGGATACTATTATAGAAAAAGTGGACGGTGGTGCCATTTCGTGAACCACTGAATGCCAACCGGCTCAGTGGTCCACAGTTGAGCGTTCACGCGCAAAACTGATAGGTCCGGGGTTCAAATCCGGTGAGGCGGGATCGTCGATGCACACTGCTGAGGAGTCCTATCCTAGGACGAATCGGCCATCCAGTGCTTCCTGGTTTTTCATGGTGGTCTAGCTTGAATTGGCTCATTAATTTAATTATTAAAAAGTTACAAATTAGTGAGAGAGAAAAATATCTATGAAGAAATTAAAATATAAGGGAAAATGAAGAGTGAATAAGCGTAAGCCATTGCGAAAGATTTTGAGACATATCATTCGAGGTCTCTAGAGATTGGTCATGATGATAACACGAACCTCAACGAGGTAATTTACACGTACAAATATCGCGAAACATAACATAAAATAACTAAATAGCAAAATATCAGGAGATAAGTGAATGTATTAGCGTCATTGTAACCGACTGTGAATCATGTTACCTAACGTTTCGGAACTTGATGACCCATGCGCATTTTACAAATATACGCTTAAGTTTATATTTAAAATGTTGAAGACCACGAAATTGTTTCAACTAAAATAACAACCGACACACTTGGGTTGCACGGAATTGAGCAATAACGGGTCTATGTTGCCCTTAGGTGTCCGGGCCCCAGGTGCGCTATAACGACGGTGCCAGCGAGTTTTGAATCCTGACCCGAAATGGTTTGGCAAAGTGTTTAGTCACCGTCGGGGCTTGCAATTGTTCCCCGTGGACAAGGAATTCCTTGTAAGTGCACTGAATACGTCGCTGCCCTTTGTACACACCACCCATCACTACTACCGATTAAATGATTTGGTGAGGCCGTTGTAGTGTTTTCTTCGCTCGAATAATACTTAGATGAACTAATTTGACAATTTAGATTAAGTAAAAGTCATAACAAGGTTTTCGTAGGTGAACCTCCGGAAGGATTATTTTGATGAACTAAAAATATATAATGAAAAATGCACTTAACTTCGTGCTGGTCTGAATGTACGCTTCCTAAATGGTATTTACCATAGGCTTCAGCGGTAACTTACATATCCTTGAGTAAGTCAATCACTGTCGATAAGAATATTTTATACATACATTAAACAAGTTAAGGAAAAAACGTGAATCTTGCCTTCAAATATACCTTAGACCGATTGGTTCTCTGTTTTACAAGCTAATCAATTCAA